GCTTACTGTATGACAGCAAGTGGTATGATAGTCATTCTGCGTGACCTGTCCTTGATAGTTTAATTTTATTTGGCTCTGATAAAACAACAACCAATAAAACCTGTTAGCCAAAGAAAAGGATGACAACTTTGAACTACGACCTCTTTGGTGATCTCTGACTGATGTTTGGTCTTCTGAGTAAGAAACTTTCCTTAACTGTGTAGGGTGTTGGCTGCTTCTGGAAACTATTCAAAGGAGTCCACTCAGTTTATTCTCAAGGGTCAGCTACTCTATTCTGGAGAAGGAGGGGAAATAGAATATCTAATGAAGAATTATGTACTGCAACAACAGGGCATTTTCCACACTGAACTGCAATATAGTCATCCCAGCAATGGAGCAAAGTAAGTGTTTAGTTTCTTTGGAGCAGCACACATGGAGTTTAATTTTGAAAATGCACAAGAGAGTACACTTATAAAGTCTGCAGACAATACCAAGCTGGGAGGGGTTGCAAGTGCTTTGGAGGATAGGATTAAAGTTCAAAATGATCTGGACAAACTGGAGAAATGGTCTGAAGTAAATAGGATGAAATTCAATAAGGACAAATGCAAAGTACTCCACTCTAGGAAGGAAAAATCAGCTGCACACATACAAAGTGGGAAATGACTGCCTAGGAAGTACTGCGGAAAGGGATCTGGCGGTCATAGTGGATCACAAGCTAAATAAGAGTCAACAGTGTAACGCTGTTGCAAAAAAAAAGAAAACCTCATTCTGGGATGTATTAGCAGGAGTATTGTAAGCAAGACACAAGAAGTAATTCTTCTGCTCTATTCCACACTGATTAGGCCTCAAATGGAGTACTGTGTCCAGTTCTGAGTGCCACATTTCAGAAAAGATGTGGACAAATTGGAGAAGATCAACAAAAATGATTAAAAGTGGCAAAGAGTTCTGTGGAACCTTATAGACTAACAGATGTATTGGAGGATAAGCTTTAGTGGGTGAAGACCCACTTCGTCCGATGCATGTAATGGAAATTTCCAGAAGCAGGTATAAATATGCAAACAAGAATCAGGCTTGGGATAATGAGGTTAGTTAGGGAGGATTGGTTCAATCAGGGCCTCATCCTCCCTCATCCTCATCCTCCCTGATTGAACTAACTATAATCTACTCTTTGTCGCTTTTACAGATCCAGACTAACCCAGCTACCCTTCTGATACTTGAAAAATGATTAAAGGTCTAGAAAACATGACCTATGAGGGAAGATTGAAAAAATTGGGTCTGTTTAGTCTGGAGAAGAGAAGACTGAGAGAGGACATGATAACAGTTTTCAAGTATATAAAAGACTGTTACAAGGAGGAGGGAGAAAAATTGTTCTTTTTAACCTTTGATTATAGGACAAGAAGCAAAAGGCTTACATTGCAGCAAGGACGGTTTAGGTTGAACATTAGGAAAAACTTCCTAACTGTCAGAGTGGTTAAGCGCTAGAATAAATTGCCTAGGGAAGTTGTGGAATCTCCACCATTGGGGATTTTTAAGAGCAGGTTGGACAAACACAACACCTGTCTGGGATGGTCCATATAATACTTAGTCCTGCCTTGAGTGCAGGGGACTGAAATAGATGACCTCTCGAGGTCACTTCCAGTTCTATGATTCTATGCAATGAAACTTAAAAGGGAACTCTAAAACAATGGGTTTAACATTTTAGATAACTAGTTCATCTCTTGTTTACTGGGTCTTGTTTGTGGTCAGATGTATAAACATATAGTGTCCTGAATTATTTTGTCAGATCAATAAGTCTCCCAGACTTTTCAACAAACTGAGCTTAAACTTCTATTTGTACAACCTTTCTCACTGTCTGACTGTTTTTATGGAGTGCCAAACATTTATGGAGTGTCAGATGCAATATTTAGACTAGCATATAATTTAACCTGAAATGGGCTGTGTGCTTGCTATTTTGGGGGTTGACCACTTATACTTTGAACACGTTGTTATTATTTTATTAATATTATTAATATAGTCTTCTTCTGTTGTTGTGGGAGAGCTGTTGTGAAAAGATGGGGGAGGTACTCTGAAAGCAGCAGTGTGGAGCCCCCATAGTCACTCCTGTCATCTAAATATGATATATTTCATACAAAGCATGCCATATGAGGTATCATGTGAAAGGTCATGATCTGCTGGAACCCATTGTTTTGTCCAAATATGTATATCATTAGTGTATATAAAGTTGAGATTTTTCCTATATGGTTGTTACTGAAATATTTTGTAAGTTTAAGGGTCTCTCCTGCTACATTGGGATCCACTTCCAGGAAGGTGTTAAGCAACCATTAATCAGAAGGGGAGTTGTAAACAAGGAATTTACAATACTATAAGAGAGCTGCACAAGCATCACATAGTGGGAGATTGCTCAACCCTGTGACTCAGCAAAGTCCACCAGGACATGCTTGGGCTAGTGTTTTCCAGGAACATGGACTGAGGATATAAAATGGGGGACAGTGGCGTCATGTTTTGGCCTTTCTCCTCCTGCACCTATGTTGGAAGCAACAAGAAATTGAGAAGACAAAGACTTGAACTGAGGAGACTGGTCCCAGCCTTAAAGGGGAAGCTTGTGTATTAAGAACTGCAACATCTAATGGGGTGAGAAAACTGATTGATTCAAATACTGTCAAGACAAATAAGGACTAGAGATTTAGACTTGCACTTATCTCATATTTTCTTTGGTAACTATCTTTGACCTTTTGTGCCTTACACTTATAATCACTTAAAATCTATATTTCTGTACTTAATAAATCTGTTTTATATTTTACCTAAAACAGTTTGTTTTGCTTGAAGTGCTTGGGAAATCTCAACTCAGTTTACAAAGGATAGTGAATGTCCTCTCCACATGGAAGGAGGGATGGACTGCGTAATAAACATCTACTGGTCTGGCTTCTGACCAGGAATGGAATATTCTCGGGGTGCAAGGCTGGGGGTTGACAGATTTGCTGGTGCCTTTCTGTTTTGTGAATGGCTCAGGGAGCATTCATGCTATATAGCTGGGTTTGGGGTTGCACGTGCTGTTGTACTGAGTGATGATAGTTCCCAGAGGAGTTTTCTGCATGTCACTAACATAGTATTGTGAGTGACAGCCCAGGCTAGAGAGTTATGGGGGAGCAGCGTTACCCTAAATCCAGGTTGCATCCTGGGGATCCTGTCACAATGGGTTTGGCATCAGTCTCTGAAAATGGGAAGACTTGAGCTCATTCTGATGCCCTCAGAAAAGGTGTTCCATAGTTGAGGGTCCCTCACAGACAATCCCCCAATTCCACACTCAAACATTTCATTCTTGTTCAGAACAACTGAATAAATTAAAAGTAGTTAAGAAGATAATGGCTTAAATCATGCCCACTTGTTATTCATTAAAAGTTTACGGTGGGTTTAAGAAGAACTTTTGATTTGTAAATGTTTTAGGCCATTATTGAAGTTCTACGGAGAGGACCACTTTCTCTTACATGAAATGGGTTATTAGTCTATAAATTCAAATATGGTCTGTGTCTTCCCTTATCCAAGCTGTTTATGTAGAGCTAGAACAGGTATTGCATAATTGTTTGGATTGTCTTTTATTGATGGTAATAATTGCCGTATGGCGCTATATTATGTATGAAATACTCTTTCAAATCTGTTTTTCGGCTTATGCTTTCACTTTTTATTCTGTAGTTAACAGCAGTACAGTCAGTACTGTACAAGGAGTTTTTCAAAGTGTTATAAAATGTAACATATTCATGGAAGAAAAAGATTTTGTCATATAAAATAAATTTGATAGTAACTCTGCTCACCCCCAGCTGTCCTCTACGGTGCATCTACACTGCAAAGAAGAACCTTGAGCTTGCCTGTGCCAGCTGACTCAGACTTGCGGGGCTCAGACTGAAGGGCTGTTTAATTGTAGTGGGTGTTTGGGCTCGGTCTGGAGCCTAGGATCAAGGACCCTGCGAGGGGGGAGGGTTCCAGAGCTCAGACTTCAGCCCAAGCCCAAATGTCTATGCCATAGTGTAACAGCCCCTGAGCCCCACACCTGCAAGCCCAAGTCAGCTGTCATGAGCCAGCCATGGGTGTTTAGTTCTAAAGTAGACATATCCTCAGACTCCCATGATAACGGTGGATCAAGGATCTGGTGAGGTGAAATCTTCCGTCTAAATGGCCATCTTTAGCATTCACTGTACACAATTATACTGAACATGGTTTTAAAGGAGTTCAGTCACTTCCTCATGCCTTTGAGATAGATGAATCAATCATGTGTTTCAAAACTAAAAAGATGTTGAAAAGACACTATCTAATATTTTTTAGAGTCCCAATCACCCTATAATTCTTTTGTTTATAATAGTCTCAGAACTTTGTAAATAAAATTTCATTCCCTAAAACTTTGGTTCTTTTCCATCTGGCAGATATTTTACTTTTTTTCTGTTTCTACTAGAACTTGAAATTAGTATGACTTTTTCTTTTAGTATTCTATCTTGGTGTGTGTGCATATGTAAGCCAAATTCTGTGCACCCAATTGACTTATGCAGATGCACCTACTTACTCTAGGATTCAGTAAGGCCCTGTGTTAATTGTATTCCATCTCTGGAAGAAAGGGTTTCTTAGTTCATTTGTGCTTTCAGTGCTGCATCTACAATAAGCAGCGTGTAAAGTATCGGTGTTGCTTAGGTCCTTCATATAGAGTGGCTATGTATTTGAGAGGGTTTTTTATCTCTTGGGTGTGTGTGTGTGCGTGTGTGAGAGAGAGAGAAACTGAATACTTAGGATCTCCAGGACATTTCCCATCAAGTTAACTTTACTGGGATGTTATAGTTTGCATCTAAAACGTGATCTCTAACTTACTCTTAGATTTCTTTCCCCACTGCTATAAATACTCTATTTTGGGAGATACTATGTTTAGCTGACACTCAATCTTTTTTGTGCCGCTTGTACAGTGCATATACTGTGTGTAGGCATCTTTTAACTGATACATGCAGAATGTATTCATGCTGTATTTACATTGTATTTTTCAGCTCTCCTTCAAGTGACGATTTCACTTAGCAAGGTAGAGCTTAGCGTGGGTGAATCCAAATTCTTCACATGCACAGGTATGTATTTCATTATATCTCCAGGTATGTTTTGCTAAATTTTCAGATCAAACTTTTTCATAATTTGAATGTTATTAATTGGCTTAGAAATATTTATATTTAAAGTATATTGTTTCAATATTTGCATTGAATTCTGACTATTTGCATGTTGTGATAAATAGCAAGTCCTGTTACATTGGCTTCACATAATGTATGCTTTCAGTCTACAGACTGTTGATTTCACGTGCCAAACAGACTAAATCTCTTATTTTGAAATTGATTTCCATCAGTATAAATTATTTATGTATGTAAATTTTTTGCTCTATTAAAATAATTTTACTTGTCTAAACACTAATATTAGAATGAATATATAAGATCATAATTGAATCATTTTTGGTAAATAGCTAATGAATAAATTAGACATAGCATGCTGCTCTGAAGTTACGCCTGAGTGACTGTTTCAGTATCCAACAGAGCATATGTAACCTGAAAAGTTAGAATTACTTTTTCTCGTGCAATCAACTTTTTACCCAGGGAAAGTTTTAGCAGTACTTTAGAAAACTTTGCCAAATAGTTTATTTCTCAAATATAGGACCTGAACCTGAAAAGTACTAAAAAAAAAATCATACATCAAAGATGCTTTCATGTGGGTTTTGACGTGGGTCTGTTTTATCATCTCTAATTGAAGGTGTATGTGGAGATGTTAAGAGGGCTAGTGTGGAGATGGTGATGAAATCCTGACCCATGTTAAGTCAATGGGAGTTTTGCCAGGCTTCATTCTGTGGCATTGAAGTAGTTTTAGTTTGCTACTGACATCCAGCTATAAGACTGAAATTTTGGCCCCACTTAAGTCAGTGGAAAACTATTACTGACTTTAAAAGGGTCAGGATTTCACTTTGTATCTCTGTCGTATCTTGTTCAATTAGTGAGGTCCAAGGTCTTAACCAGTGTCAGGCTGAGACCTGCATAGGTGAGACAGTTGCTTTATTATTATGGATAGGACTGAGTTACCTGCTGGAGTCATGGTTCTGCTATTAATTGACCATGTTTAAAAAAAGTCAGGGAACCTGGAGGTTGCGTTTTATAAATCAAATTTGTGACTGATGTGTTTAGCTTCTCTCAAGATGAGGCCAGTAATTTTTCTTAGAAATAATTTTATATATAATATAAAATGTGCATTTAGAGTTATGCCATCATTGTGGTCAAAATTATCCCTGCATTAAGATGAGAATATTCATACCTGTTTTATCAAATTGCTTAATCAATAATCTGTAAACAATGTTACAGTTTTGTTGCAGTAACAGTGGAACTGCCGTATCTTTTAAATGTTATTAGGTAAGAGTTCATTATTATTTTCAAATGACTCATCATTGGATGACTCATAGTGTGCAAAATACATGTCCTCATAAGCCTTGTTAACAACAACTATCTAGAACTCCAAACAGCCAAAAGCAGAGGACCAGATCGGAATCTTGTGTTGGTCCAGACTGATCCTGTGTCCTTTACCACTCCTGTCTCACTGGGGGATGTCTTAGATTTGCTGGCATATCCTCCTGTCCAGTCAAACAAGTCCATTGAACCTTTGTGGAACTCTCAGCTGTCACTGCTCATTGGGGCATGCACCCTTTTTGAGCTCTTCACAGCTGACTGTCAGTCACCTGTAGAAACCAATCCCCACAGCCACAGGGTCAGGGAGGCTTTTCACTTACTTGGGAGACTCACCGGTGTCATTCTCATAATCTATCGGGGCAAAAAGGGTTTCAAGCTCTCCTCCCTTAGCAGGGATGTGATCTGATGTCACATAGCTGATATACAACAACCTCTGCAGAGAAGTAAACTTCTCCGCCTTGGGATTTTAGTTTTATTCCAAGTTGGGGGATGGTCTATGTAATTATGTGATGCAGAATGTGGTAGTAGCAGGATTTGATACTGAATCTGGCCCAATGTTATCTGAGTATCTAGCATATAGTTATATCTGAGGGGATTTATGCCAACCACTCAGGCAGTTAGATGGGTTACAGTTTATTCACTGTGAGTTTAAAAAAAGAAAAAGAGGAAAAAATAGCTTCAACCAGCTGGAAATCAGATCGTTCTGAAAAGTATGATACAGTTTTAAGGACTGTTCTTTGAATATAGGCCAGTGGTTGCTCACCAATTCCTGGCTCACTTAAAAACGTTAGTCCAATGGCAACTTAAAACTAGAATGTAACCTTTAAATATGGAACTGTAAATAGTTACTCTTAAATACAAATAGGTAAACATGTATCTGATTGCATCTATAATGTTGTATAATGTTCTTACTAATTTTGTTTGCCAAAATGCTTTTGTTCCATAGACAATTATTAAAAAGAATGTTTTTTCTACAAACATTGTCAAAATGAAGTTGTAATTCTGGTTCAAAATCTGTTTCTTTCTACAAATGTGATTATTACCATGGCTGTACACCATGGTAATTTGACATGTAACCAAAAACTTGCTTTTGGTTCAGATAGAACATAGTGAAAACACATCTCTGAGGAAAAAAAAATCAGTAGAGCAAATAAAAAGGGGGGGGGTTTCTGTTTTCTTTCGTCTTTTTTTTTTTTTAAATTTGAACATAGGCTGGGACCTAAGTAGGACAAATTTGCTAGTACTTGAATATTAGAGTATGTCATGGAGGAGGGAAAGGTCTCTGATTTTGGTCTTTGAATCTTGTAAAAAGTTTGTTCGGATTTTGGGCAAAGGTTTGATCCAAATCTTTTATTTCTAAAATACCCACAGATAGCCCAAATAGTTACTGGATAATGTAATTTTTGCTATCTGGCTCAGCTGGATGTATAAACATTTTCCTAATTCTTATTAATAGCTCAAAATAGTTAAATTATGGCCATCAGACTTGCTGGTTTCTCTTTTGTCTGTCTTATAACTTGTGTTCCTCCTACAGACAAGGCAAGCTGGATATTGCAAAGAAAGAACTCAACTGAATGTTACTTAGTGTCTATAGCTGAACTTTACTTTTTACATTGCTTTTTTTAGCGATTGGGGAGCCAGACAGTATAGATTGGTACAATCCACAAGGAGAGAAGATTGTGTCTAGTCAAAGAGTGGTCATTCAAAAAGAAGGTGTTAGATCACGGCTAACCATTTACAATGCAAATGTAGAAGATGCTGGGATATATCGGTGTCAAGCAACTGATGCAAAAGGACAGACTCAAGAAGCTACTGTTGTTTTGGAAATTTATCGTAAGTGAAACATAAAGGAAAAACTAACAATAAAAAGAGAGGATCTATTTTGAATTCCATTTGCTATACAGAAAATTAACACTATATTAATATATACCCCTTCTCTATAAATCTAATTTTAGGAGCAATAGATTGTATCTGTTGCAGTCAAGCATATATACTGTGAAAAAGACTTGAATGGAATTGATATCCAGAGTACATTAATCCAGTATGGTATAGCATCAGTTACCTGATGTCTTGAAATACAAAGTCTTATCATGAGGATGCACCATATATACCTCTCTATCATGAAAAGGACAAAATGTGTTTGTGAGGGAGATAGATCTGCACCAAAATAAATCCTCTTACAATAGTCAAATTGTGCATTGATTTGGAGTGCAAGAGACACAACATATACAGTTTAAAAGAGTTTGCAATGGCTTTTATGTTATTTTTTTTTCCTGTTCTTGGTTGTATAAGGGACTTATGTGACATAAAATCCTATATGTGATGAGGTATAAATATTTATAAACCACCAAAGTACTATTATTTTTAAAATAGAGTTAAACAATTAATGGAGGATTATTTCTTCAAATGTAAATATACTGCATGATGCAAAATGAATATGTAAAAGCATCCTACAGAAGTTTTAGAATCATAGAATCATAGAATATCAGGGTTGGAAGGGACCTCAGGAGGTCATCTAGTCTAACCCCCTGCTTAAAGCAGGACCAATCCCCAATTAAATCATCCCAGCCAGGGCTTTGTCAAGCCTGACCTTAAAAACTTCTAAGGAAGGAGATTCTACCACCTCCCTAGGTAACGCATTCCAGTGTTTCACCACCCTCCTAGTGAAAAAGTTTTTCCTAATATCCAACCTAAACCTCCCCCACTGCAACTTGAGACCATTACTCCTTGTCCTGTCCTCTTCTACCACTGAGAATAGTCTAGAACCATCCTCTCTGGAACCACCTCTCAGGTAGTTGAAAGCAGCTATCAAATCCCCCCTCATTCTTCTCTTCTGCAGACTAAACAATCCCAGTTCCCTCAACATCTCCTCAGAACTCATGTGTTCCAGACCCCTAATCATTTTTGTTGCCCTTCACTGGTCTCTCTCCAATTTATCCACATCCTTCTTGTAGTGTGGGGCCCAAAACTGGACACAGTACTCCAGATGAGGCCTTACCAATGTCGAATAGAGGGGAATGATCACGTCCCTCGATCTGCTCGCTATGCCCCTACTTAGACATCCCAAAATGCCATTGGCCTTCTTGGCAACAAGGGCACACTGCTGACTCATATCCAGCTTCTCGTCCACTGTCACCCCTAGGTCCTTTTCCGCAGAACTGCTGCCTAGCCATTCGGTCCCTAGTCTTTTGTCAAGTTGTAATTGACATCACTTTAAAAAGTACGGAATATTGAACTGAATTCTTTACATCAATTAGATCAATCAGAATTCTTTACTTCAATGCAAAATACATAATACAGAAGAGGCTTAAGGCTAACACAAAACCAAAAAGAGGGGCCATACTGTGCCATTAGTATTTAAGCAGAATTCCTTATTGATTTGAATGGTGACTTTTGCATAAATATTCATGACAGGATATGGTTCATGGTCAGGCCAAGACTTATGAACTGAAATGTGCCAGGTAAATGCAAGATAAAATCTTAAAGTACTGCAGCTTTAACAGTGCAGCAGATATCAAATGATAGATAATTTTAAAAATAAATGTTATTGATAAAACCACATGTTTGTGCACTACACATATGCAGTGAGTTGCATCGACAGAGGATGTGTCACTGAGAAGCAGTTTCCTCCAGAGCTCGTCTTAGGTCTGTACAGTTCCACAGTAGTGCGTAAAGAAGGTGGTGGATTAAAAGCCACAGTGTAGCTGTTGAGCTATTCTGCAATAACAGCTAAAATTATGCAACCCTTACTCACACAACTGAATACTTACTTATGGTATTACCGCCCCAAATATTCAGAAATCAGATCTCCAAAAAATGGGTCTTATTGGCTAAAAAAAAATCACAATTTAAAAATAATCAGGTTTCTTATTATTTGCCTTTTGGGTTTTGAGCCAGTTGATGAGGTCAGGCTTTTCTCCACAACATGATAGCTAGAAAGTCGTCCCCCACACTACTCCTCCCCCATGAAAACTGAAATTCTCACAATCACTTGCCTTCAGCAGCCGGGACTTGAAGAAAAACACCAAATAATTGAGTCAACAAGGCTACTCACTGGAGTAATTAATGCTCACAATATGAGTAAGAGTTCCACAGTTGAGCCCAAAAATGTTGAAAGCAAGAAGTAAGTAAGAAATTATTTTGTATATTCAAACGTAAGAGATTACTTCAAAGATCCTTATGGCACTATCCCACATGTCAGTCTCATAAACGAACTAGGGACATCTGGTCTAGAGGAAATTACTATAAGGTGGATGCATAACATGTTGAAATACCATACTCAAAGACTAGGTATTAAGGGGTTGCTATAAAAATGGGAGGGCATATTTAATGGAGTCCCACTAATCAATCTTTTAATTAATGACTTGGATAATGGAGTGGACATATTGCATATAACATTTCTGGATGACACCAAGATGGGAGGGATTGCAAGCACTGCGGAGGACAGGGTTAGAATTCAAAATTATCTTGATTAATTGGAGAATCGGTCTGAAATCAACAAGATGAGAGTCAATAATGACAAGTGCAAAACACTACACTTAGGAAGGAGAAATCAAATGCACAAAGAGAAACTGGGGAATAACTAGCTAGGCGGTAGTTCTGTGAGCCAACAATACAATGTATTTGCAAAAAAACATAAGCTAATATCACTCTGTGACATATTAATAGGAGTGTTCTACTAAACACAAGGGAGGTAATTATACCACTCTACTCTGCACTGGTGGGGACTCAGCTGGACTATTATGTCCAGTTTTGGACACCATGCTTTAAGGAAAAAGTGGACACACTGGAGAAAGTCTACAGAAGAACAAAAAACATTTTAAAGGGGGTTTAGAAAACCTGTCATGTCAGGAAGGGTTAACAAACCTGGGCATGTTTAGTCCTGGGAAAAGAACACTGATGGGGGACCTCATAGTCTTCAAATATGTTAAGGGCTCTTGTAAGGCGGATGGTGACCAATTGTTCTTCAAGTCCACAGAAACTAGGTGAAGTAATGGTCTTAGTTTGCATCATAGGAGATTTAGGTTAGATATCAGGAGAATTTTTTCTAACTGGAAGGATACTTCAGTACTGGAATTGGTTACGTAATTGGAGGTTGTGTAATCTCTTTCATTGATGGTTTTAAAGAACAGGTTGGACAAACATCAGTAAGGGATGATCTTATTTGGTGCTGCCTAAGAGGGAGTGGTGGTGGAATGGACTAGATAATCTCTTGTGGTCCCTTGTGCTCCCTTCCAGCCCTACATTTTTTATGATTCTAAGATATTATGCAATTATTTCTCAATGGAAATAGTGGAATTCTCATTACCAGGAACATTTATGCCTAGGCTGGCCAAAGCCATAGATAATACACCGGAACAGTCCTCTGCTGCACTCAGAGAAAAAATGAACTAGCTTTCACATCTCTAATTTCTATGATTTGATGCTGTATTCAGAGTAACTGTGCATGTAACTTGTATTGCTAAACAAAACAGGAAACGCTTGTTAAATTCAGTTTTCTTTCTTTTTAGAAAAGCTCACTTTCCGAGACATAATAACACCACAAGAATTCAGACAAGGAGAAGATGCTGAAGTGATTTGTCATGTTACTAGTTCACCTGCACCTGTTGTCAGCTGGTTGTATCGAAATGAGGAAGTCACAACTATTGCTGACAGTTAGTATTTTGGTAACTCTTTAGGTTATATGTTCTAATTATATATTAAAATATTATTTAAAAGAAGATATATCAAAACTGTAATGTGGGATAGCAGTGAAGAATTCCTAAGCATAAACTTTAATTTTACCTTTGGATGTGGTAGATTCTCCATCACTTGAAGCTTTAAATCAAGAATAGATATCTTACTGAAGAGTATGCTTTCAGTTTCACTTTGGTTTCATCTTAACCCAATAAGCTTAAAGCAAAATTCAGCCAAGGACTGTCAGCCCATTTGTGAGCAATTTTTCATATGAGTAGTCCCACTGAAGCCAATAGAGCTACCTGAGCGAGTGAGTTCTCACCAACATGTTTAAGGATTGTACAGTACCACTACACACACTAGTGATATCTTTAGGAGGCAATTGACTGTCCCAGTACTGCTTCTTATGCCTTTGTGGGGCAACACAATTATTTGCAAAAAAACATAATGCACAGAAAACACAGAAAACACATAATGCACACAATGCACAGAAAACATCTTTGGAGAGCTATCTGCCTACCTGCCTATCCTCTCACAGCTTTGGCATTAAATGGACTAAAATGCAAGGTTGAGTTTGTACATTCCTCATGCTGGTCATTAAGATATGTTTTTTTCATATTCTTTTTAATTCAAAATGAAATTAAAGTTTATTTAGTGGCATGAAAGTATGGAACTGTAGCATCTCTAAGGTATGATTACAGCCAAAGAAGAGCAGATTTAATAAACCTATTAGGCTTTTTATTGTAAAGCTGAAAAATCACTTATTTGGGTGCTTTCAGATTCTTGTGTGAACCTTCATGGTACAAAAGCCAGGCAGAGTTTTAACTGGATTTGCTACTTACATACTGTGTTTAATCTCTGTCGTTACCCACGTAGTCACACGTGCAGAATTCATGGTGAAAGAGTTACCTGTAGAAGAGCAATGCAACTTTTTTTATATAATTGAATTGTTAAAGAAGGTAAGGGTTAAGGGATTTTGGAAACAAACAGTAGCTGAACAATTAAGCAAGCGGTCTTTTTGTCAGTGTTACAGTTTAAAGCCTACAAATGTGAGATTTTCTCCTAAAGATCAGGGATACTCTACAGTATGTTAATTTAATTTGCTTTTGCACTTCTAGTTCTTGTTCTGGTTACCAATCAACCCTGTTTTAGAAGACTTAATCATAAAAAGAAAATCTTGAAAAATTTTTTCTTAAGATCGTGCATTTTAAATTAATCTGAATTTTTTAAATATTTCCAGTGTGCCATGCTGCATTTCATAATGTAATTTTGAGTTTGTTTCATTTTCTTTTAAGATGTGACAGGACATAAAGCTGTTTAGCTGTTTGAGCCAGACAGATATATAATGTTAGGATTTTAAACAGTATATGGTTGAAAAATGGATTAAAGAAAAACAGAAAAAAATGTTGTTCCTTTATCCCCTGATCTTGCATTGAGATCTCCTAGCACAGACTGCTATGCCCATACAAATCCCCATTAAAATTCAAGGGGATTCTGCAAGGACCTAAGATAGCAGCTCCTGCTGTAGGAATTGGGGCTTTAAATAGTATATAGCTAGAAGAGTTTGAGCTGTGTGAGTGTTCACAGTATCACCTGGACATACTACCATGGATGGTGGAGAAGAGATTATTCTCTAGTAACCAATTGATCATTATTTCTATAGTATATAATACTTAAATTCATTAAATGTTATGTGTACTAGAAGATTAGTTTATTATAGAGATAAATATGCATTATTTTAATTGTCTTTTTCATTTTTTTGTTTATAGAAAGTTTAAAATGTAGAATAATTTGACATCTGCTGTTGAAAGGATAATTTCCAGTTATATTATGCAGCTTTTTATTGTGCACTGGGAAGCAGCTTCCGTTTAAAATCTTTTTTAGCACCTGCATTGTGGAGAGATACACTGTGATTGGCTTTTTAGTTATAAAGTGAAAATATTTCTGCTATATGTGACAAAGTGAATAAACCTCTCGGATATGATTTAGCACAATTAACTATGATTATTTAGGCTGTACAAAGTCTTGGCAGTTCCTAATGCTTGAATGTGCTATCCACACAGGAGACTGATCTGCTTACCAGAAAGGAAGGTTGTTTACTGAATCAGAAGTGAACATTTAAAGCAGGGGTCTCAAATTCAATTTACCTTAGGGCCAGTCCCAGTCATAGAATCATAGAATATCAGGGTTGGAAGGGACCTCAGGAGGTCATCTAGTCCAACCCCCTGCTCAAAGCAGGACCGATCCCCGACTAAATCATCCCAGCCAGGGTTTTGTCCAGCCTGACCTTAAAAACTTCTAGGGAAGGATATTCCACCACCTCCCTAGGTAACGCATTCCAGTGTTTCACCACCCTCATAGTGAAAAAGTTTTCCCTAATATCCAACCTAAATCTCCCCCACTGAAACTTGAGACCATTACTCCTTTTTCTGTCATCTGCTACCACTGAGAAAAGTCTAGAGCCATCCTCTTTGGAACCCCCTTTCAGGTAGTTGATAATGTCACTGAAGATAGTGTTCAGAAAAGAAAACATTTATATTGTATTTTTTATTTTGAATTTCTCAGAAATAATAAAACTACCATATAACTTTATACAATTCTTCGCCTGCCAGAGAGTTTTTAGTGTTTGCCAGACACCTGGCAATGCTTCAGTTCTGTCAGTTTGTTGACATTTGGCTTCAGTGATTGAGCAGTTGAAAAAAGTGAGGCTGCCTCCATGGCTGACTCTGCCCAGCAACTAGTGATGGTATCTCTATCCCTCTCCCCAGCCAATGGGAGCTGCAGGGGCCGGCGCCTGCAGCAGACATTGCCAGCAATGTGTCTGCATGCGTCTCTCCTCTGCGGGCCACAGTGGGGAGGTGCTCAGGCCGCAGAAGGCCCGCGGGCCGGGACTTTGAGACCCCTGATTTAAAGAATTGTTCCACAAGGAAGTGTAGAGCTGACTGGGAATGGCAACTCCTAATTCTAAAGTAGTTTTACTTCTCCCCCCAGAGCCAAACTCCTAGACATCTGTTCAGTCCCGACACCGATAGTCCTTCTCCTGTTTATCTATGAAGGGAGGGAATGAGGGACAGAGAGATCAGCTTTCCATCATCCTTTGACCAAGGAAATTAAATAAAATTACTGAGGAGACCATGACCTTGGAAAGAGCCCACACTCTGTTAAAAGATTCTTTCTTGACTTGATGTTGTATCTTTAAAGTTGGATGTAAGAGCTCAATAGCTCAATGGAATGTAGAACTCTCTGAGCATGTTCTGTAGAGTTCCTGTAATGTCAGCCTCAAAAGCTTAATTGTCATGAATCACAATTCCATTGTGCAGGCGCCAAGGGCCTGGTACTAGAGATGAAGGTGGCCTGCAACTGTTTTTTATAGATCACACCTTGTTCTGTTCACCAAGACAGTGATTTACTCTTTATTTTTGCACAGCAGTATTGCTGCATAAGGAGTTAAGCACACTGCCCACTCCATAGTGCCTATCACAAATACTGCAAGGCTATATGGAGGCATTCAGGTCTCTGGGACTGATTGGAGTCAGCCACAAGAGGAACTAACTACCAAGGGCTAGTCTGAACATCACCTGGACGAATCTTTCTATTCAACAGTCCGGTGCTCAATTGCATAGTTTTGTCATACATGCAGTTACCACTTGCTGGATATGACATTGTTGTAAGGTTCAGGATTACTGTATGTAAACGTTGTTTTGGTCTACATCATAGCTGATTGCGGAGATATTGTACTGAAGGAGTACTGGTGTATCCTTCACCCCTGTCATGTATTGTGGTGTGCTGTTATGTTGTATATTTTCCTTTTTGTCTGGTTCCTTTGGGGTTTTTTTTCTGATCATTTCAATGTGGTGTGTAACTCTCTTCAAAACCATCACAATTTACATCTGTAAGCGATTCTTCAGACTGTTAGAATTACAGGTGTGCAAACCATTCCAAGTTCAGTGCAAAAAAAGTTTGCAGAATTTTTTTGTGGAAACTGGTTCGTATGGTTTTTCAACCCATTCATACTTCTTCATACGGGATCACTGCTTCACAAAACATGAAACAGGAAGTAGGCGTGTGTCCTGATGTTACAACAGAAGTCTTATTTCAGTGAGGAATACTTCTCCTTTTAAAAGTATGATAAACATGGTACATGAGCCAAAATATAAAATAATAAGATAGTGCCTAATAACGGGCCAGTTACGGGAGAAATATAAGGGCCTGCTTCAGGAACATAATCTAAGGGACTAGGCCTGATACAACAAGACAACTTTGATTTCAAGAGATTTTCCCAATCAGAAATCTAGATATTAATATGGGAGCCAGTATATAAAATATAAGGAAAAATTTCCAATAACGGTGGAATTACAAGTATACTAGGACTCTGCTTTCTAAGGTTCTTCCCCTGACATTTCAAGATAGATTATGATGACTTTATTTTTTTATCAAAAATCTTAAACAAACTACAGCCTCTCTCATTCTGAGATTACAAATGAAAAATACTTCTACTGAACTGGGCTGACCCTATTGGACTGATCATATTGGATAGGCTCAACCAATTTAGGGCCACTGAAGAAATGCCATGTGATTTGCACCCGATGACCTATCTCAGTGATCTTGACTCAAATTACATTATGAATGCCATAAAGTGAACCAATAAACAGAGAGGAGGGTTGAGGTTGTAAAAAGCTTCTGCTGATAGCTTGAAGAAACAACATTTATGAAAGCCATCACTGTTTCCTGGAAACAAGCTGAACACAGACCCATGATGGTTTTGAGTATTTTCCTGATTTAAATCAAGAGTTTACACACCTCTAATTAGAACTGTGCAGCTATGGGAAGGAAAATGGTGCATTCTTGTGTGCACTCTGGGTGAAATTAATCCTGATACAGAGAGCCTGCATAAGTCCTTTTAAGGGGGAGTTTAGTGGTGCATTGAGCTTGTGTTGGCTGCCATCACAGAAGTGAATTTTACCCTTTCTCTGAAAAACTACTGTACTCAGGGTGGGCTGGCAGCTGCTTTCAGGCCCTGCCTCTAAAAGGAAATTTTAGGGTGGGGCAGGGAGGGGGGGACCATAAAACACTCATACTACCATTGTTTCAGCTGCATCAGTGGCAGAACTGGTGGAAGCCCTAATGGTTTCAAGTACTTCCAGCATTTTGTCCTCAGCAAGTCTTTCATGGAGGTGCCTTGCTAGCTCTCCAGTACGTTTTTGTGTGGGCTTCATGCTTGTCTACTGATTAGCTATGGGTATTCACATCCTGCTTTGGGTATGCCTATACTGCAGTACAAGACCCGTGGCTGGCCCAGGTCAGTTGACTCAGGCTCATGGGGCTTAGGCTGTGGGGCTATAAAATTACAATGTAGACATTTGGGATCAGGCCAGACTTTGGGTTCTGGGATCATGTGAGTGGGGAGAGTCTGAAAGCCCAGGCTCCAGCCTGAGTCCAAACATCTATACTGCACTTTTGTAGCCCATTAGCCCGAGCCCTGTGAGCTGAAGTCAGCTGTCCTGGAGCAGCTTTAAGTTTTTAATTGCAGTATAGACATACCCTTAGTGTCCTAGGCCAGTATTTCCCAAACTTGGGACGCCGCTTGTTCAGGGAAAGCCCCATTGGGGCCCAGCTGGTTTGTTTACCTGCCGCATCCGCAGGTTCGGCCGATCGCGGCTCCCATTGGCCGCGGTTTGCTGTGCGTGCCCAATGGGGGCTGCTAGAAGTGGCGCGGGCCAAGGGAAAGCCCACCAGGGGTTTTCCCTGAACAAGTGGAGTCCCAAGTTTGGGAAACACTGTCCTAGGCTATAGTGAATGTTGTTGACTGTCGTGTGTGATGAGCTGGCATTGTCTGGTGGCTGTTAACTGCCCACATCCATTGACTGTGATCCCCTTACAAAAGCATACAGTTTATATATTTGTGAACCTATGGGTATATCATATATAGTACTTTATGGGATGTATCATAAATTAGTACTTGTATAAACATGGTGTCCGCTAGAGCGGTTGGATGCTCTGAACTTTGCTCTGAGCATACTATTATTTATGTGAATCACGTTATCCAGGCCTAATGCATGACTGCAAAGCTTCAGGTGAGTTTACTGGTTCAGCCTGACTTTACATAATTACTATGCAAGGTAGATAACAATTCTTTTAAATATTTGGTGTTATGTCTTGAAAGGCAGTAATTCCTTCCACCTCTATCAGTGGATACGTCATACAGAGTGGTGTGTGGCTTTTCTGAGAAATCATTTCAATTCACTTTCCACTCTTTTTCAACTTTCCGATAGGTATTGTATGTGCTGTGTATTAATCTGTCTGCCTAAATGCTAGTATGTAGTATGGGATGTAGAAAGAGCTTTGTTCATCTGATCAACCCAATTTACTCATAAGAATTTCTCCTGTTATTATACACACATTTCTCCAGTCTATCCCATGACAAGATTAGGGTATTTATGGTGTTCTGAGTCACCCAACGTTAGAGTTCATTTTCATTTCATTTTCTTTGATGAAATTGAAATAGCCTCCTTAGCTGAAAAGGCCTGGTGGTTGACAGAACATCCAGCCAGCAGGGATGAAGCTTTTCTTATATTAAAATAATCCTCTAAACAGCACTTTCCAAATGTTTGAAAATGTACATTTTTTATTATCTAAGAATTGTGTTTCAACAAATAAAAAGCTAACAAAAGTTTAAAGAGAGAAATTATCTCCCTTTCCCCCCCCCCCACACCTTTTGAAAGAGAGAACATTTTGAAGGGTGACTGTCAGAGGATCACACCAGGAAATGGGTTTTACTTCTAGGTGTATTGGATTGTGACTTTTATTGATTTGAAAATGAGTGATTAGATCTTAATGGCCAGTGTCTTTCTTCATGATATACTTAGAACTCGACAAAGGGAGTGGAGCACCAGGACCCCAGTTCAGCAAATCCCTTAAGCACATGCTTAAATTTAAACACCTGGTTAAGTGTTTTGCTGAGTTGAGGCCCATGTATACAGTAACCACAAGAATCACATATAGTGACCTAAGGAGGAATATGTCTCTCAAAAGGTATAAGCTGATAATGGTTGATTTAGACTGAGGGACTTGAAAAATTAAATCCATCTGCCTCTTATATCTGCACCTCTTATAGGGTGCTAAGAGTGGTGACTCTGATCCAAGAAAACACTTAAGTGCATGCTTAGGCCCAATTCAGCAAAGCACTTAAGCTATGTAACTTGGAAGTCAATGAGACTTAACCACTTGCTTAAAGTTCAACATGTGCTTAAGTGCTTTGCTGGATTAGGGTTGGTGTATTCAGCATCTTGAAATGCCAAGCTCACAGTGAGACACATGATCCGGGGTCATAATATGTACGAAAAATAGTTTTAATATAATTTTTTTGGCTGAAACTGAAAGATCCTGTACAAACAGTTGTTTAGTAAGAACAGAGACAACTATTACCTAGAAGAACATTATCTAGTTCCATCTGTACAATTTTAAGGTTTGATGTGTGACATTTCTATGTTTCTCTAATCCTTTTACCAGTCTAGGGTAAATAAGCATCTAATTCACTTTGTAATAATTTGAGTCAGATTCTTAGTTTTACAAAAGACATTAAATGAGCTAAGGATTCTACTTCTGGGCTAACCTATTACAATATTCTATTTTTCCTGTTGCCAGAAACAAAAGTTGCACATTTTTTCATAATATTATCACCATATCATCTGCAATAAGATCCCAGTTCTGCAACTTGTTTCATATTGATGGACACCTATTGAAGTCAGCAAGGTTCTGTGGGGGCTGCCTGCACATAATGAGTTGCAGAATTGGGAAATAAATGATGTCATATTGGGTGAAATCCTAGCCATATTGAAGCCAGTATGAGTTTTATCAGTGATTTAAATAGAGCCAAGATTTCACCCATTAACATTAATTTGGAAAAGCAGGGTAGTTGGTCCTTGACAAGAACTGAATAGGGTGTGAGGGAGGATGCATATAATATATCTTATTTTAAAAAAAATAGCACAGCATTGAATATTTGGTTGAATGTACTGTAGGTATATTGTGCTTCCATTGGCACTGCAGTAACAAGTCTGGAATAAAAATGTACAGAGGAACAACTACATTTCCATTTTATATAGAAAAAATCCTAACTGAATTTAAACAAAAGATAAACCAATATTTTTGGGGTGAAATAACTTAGGTTATGATATTACATTTTAATTTTAAATTGAAAGTGTTTTGTTGATGAACTATTTGATCTCATTAGACAAGTTCATTTATCTTTGTAATTTAAATTAGTATCCCAAAACTGTCTTAATTTACCGATATCACTTTATTCATTACATGCCTTTCTAGATCGATTTGTGATGTTACCAAACAACAACCTCCAAATTCTTAATATCAATAAAAGTGATGAAGGAATATATAGATGTGAAGGAAGAGTGGAAGCTAGAGGAGAAATCGACTTTCGGGATATCACAGTTATCGTGAATGGTAAGGTGTACAGTGATTTTTCTGAAGTTGAAATGAGGTGTTGCTTTCATTGATTATAGCATTATTTAAACAAGGTTCATCATCTTCTATGAAATCTTAATTAGGCCACGTATTGCAGGATCACTACATACTATAATTGTTACATTGTTTTTCTTTAAATAGAAATTGAGTTGTTTACTGTTTACAATTTGTACATTGTGAGGTTTACCTTATGTGGGTTTTTATGTTTAATTTAATTAATATAATTATGTAGTTAAGGAGATGTCATATCTCCTTTAATGGTATAAATGTATGTAAATGTTATGTGTAAATGTAGTGGTTTAAAAAAAATATCTTTCGCAGGATATAGCCAACCACACCAAGATCAGAGTTCAGATTTAGCTGGATATATATCTTTCAATGCATGTCATGTGTTGTTATAAACCACTTAATTTTATGCAGTTATTCAGTTTCACAGTAACACAGTTATTTTATGAATTGTCAGTATTTAAAACCTGTTTAAACACCATGAACATAATTTTTAACTGTAGGACTACAGTTGAATTAACTGGATACACCATGGATACGCCACTATTATTTAAGTCATAATAAATTTTAACAATTTATTAGAAACCCTTTTAACAAGGAATATGAAAGTGCAAGCATAAAATTGAATATGTAGGTTGACCTCACTGTTAAAGTCAGTGTCGGCACAATAAAACATATGTGAATGGGTCTCTATTCACTTGTTGGCCAGCAAGGTTCTATCTAACTTAGGTATGTCTATTATACTAGCTCCTTAGTATCTAAGTGCCATTTCTAATATCTAATGTTTTGTTTCTGAATGACCCTGTCATGCAAACCCTTACTCACTTGAGTATCAATGAAACTATTGAAGTCTGGACTGCTCGTGTGAGTAAAGGTTACTCGTTGCACGGGTATTCCTTGAATCCATAGCGATAAACAATAGCTGTGATATTTAAAGCAATACATCTTTAGATTGTTATCAATAGTGCACGGAAAGGGAGTGGGAGGGAGGGCAGAAGATTGTGCTGTGCCCCAATTAAAGGGTATAGGAGTGTGCATGCTCTGTGTATAGAAGGGGAAATGTTTCCCTCTGGTTCCTCTGTGTGCAATACTCCTGAGTCCTGGCTTTGTGCAATTCCCATAGTCTAGCCTATAGTATTTACTATATCACAGTATTTCTATATGTAAGCCTACATTTGAGCTGGGACATGTGATTCTCAACTCACATAGACTTATCTGTGCTAGTTTGGCTCAAACTAGTGCACTAAAAATTGCAGTGTGGCTGGGGTTGCATGGGCTAGCTGTCTGAGTACATATCCATCCGGCCCCACCACATATACAGGGAGCTAGCCTGGCCACCACCAATGTTACCTGTCTACACTGCTGGGTTTTTTAGCATACTAGCTCAAGCAGAGCTAGCATTGGTAAGTCTATATGAGCTGGGAAGCACACACGCCAACCTCAAATGTAGACATACCCTATATGGCTGGGTGTCTCTTACTTGGAAAAAAAATTCTTGACTATAATATATAATAAAGGGGATTTGAATAGAAAAAAAGCTTTACAGCCTATAATGTATTGAATGCTCTAGGTATCCTTGAGTGTTTCACAAAGTAAATGAAATAAATGCTGTTAGTTCCATCACTGGGTACAGAAAAAGAGCAACCATTATGCAGTGAGTTCACTCACAGCATGGATATTGGAACATAATTTATCAAGACAGGTAGTTGTTGACCTGAACATTGGAGTTATCTCCTTCTCATTTTGAAGAGTGCTATGAAATCTTTCACTTCATACTGGACTTTTAAAAAGAGATGGAGAGGAAGGCTGTGTCTGGCACAACGTATTGCATTAAAAATGGTGGGCCAAATTCTAACCTTGTGTGAGTGAATGATGTCAGTAGAGTTGTACCTCTTCATACTCAGTCTGAATCTGGCCCAACATCTTTATCAGTGAACACTTCTAGCTTTGAACTCAGTGTTATGATCTAGAGGCAAAAGAGTTACCAACTGAGCAACACTAAAATCATTTCACATTGTAGAGTCTCCTCCTTGATTTATCAGGATGACTGGCTTCTGTAAGATGAAGCTAAGTGTACTAAATCTATTTCCAACTGGGTCTGTAAAGTAACATTACAAATAAATAAATAAATTGCAATGACACCTAACAAGAAAGGGAAATGTCTCTGAATCTGTTTCAGCAAAAATGCATCAGTTTTCTCTGCCTGTAAAACCTTCACAAGTGCAGCCCCACAGTACCTTCTCCTCTTCCATAAAATAAAAATGGGATAGTCAGATAGTTAAAATAATTTTAAAAAAGCATAGGAGAGCTATGAAAGAGGTTTTTTTGTGCATGGATACTGTCCAGTTTTGGAGCTTTGTGAAATCTTCCATTTTATTTTTAATACAGTTTTAATTGAGTTCTTCAGGGAAAGGCCAACTGAGGAGCAGAAGGTGCAGAAATAGCTGATGCTGTAGGTCAACTCACCTTTTTCCCCCTTCTTCTTAATCATCCTGGCCCCCAGCATCTCTCTGTTCCACCTATATAGAGTCCTTCCCCATCCTTTGCTGCAGGAGCTCCCTGATTGTTTTCTAGACCCTTCTCTTGCCCTACCCTTCATGGCTCCTTGGACATTTGAATTCTTGGTACTAGGGAAGTGCCAGAATGGAGAGCAAATAGGTAAAGAAGCCAGTTTTAAAAGGGAACAAATTGCACATATATGGATCTCTGTAAGTGATAATTCTTAGAGTACTTTAAAATTTTTTGGAGAGTTAGAGCAACTCTTCAGGTGTTAAAGCACCTATCAAATATATAAATACTGTAGTATTAATTCATTGTAGTATGAGATATTAGGAACAAAAATAAACAACATATACTAAGCAGTGTTTCCCAAACTTGTTCTGCCTCTTGTGCAGGGAAAGCCCCTGGCAGGCCAGGCTGATTTGTTTACCTGCCGCGTCCATAGGTTCACTGCTCCAGGCCAATGGGAGCTGCTGGAAGTGGCGGCTAGTACGTCCCTTGGCCCGCACCACTTCCAGCAGCTCCCATTGGCCTGGAGCAAGGAACCGCTGCCAGTGGAAGCCACGATTGGCTGAACCTGCGGATGCGGCAGGTAAACAAACCGGCCCGGCCCGGCAGGGGCTTTCCCTGCACAAGCGGTGGAACAAGTTTGGGAAACACTGTACTAAAGTACTCGATACCAATATGAATACCACCTCATAAATACCTAAGATGGACAGACTTAGGTTCATCATTTTAATGGTGGTTATAGTATCAGTCTTATACTGGAAGGCTGAAGTATAGCACTTGGTCATATTTGCCTATTTTAAAATATAGATATATCTTCAGAATATAGAATTTCCCTCATTTAGGTGGCTGCTTTCATGCCACTTTGCAAGCTATCTTGAGAAATCACATACACTAAGAAGGATTTGACTGTGTTGGTACTGGCTAGCCATGAGGGAAACCCAAGAAGCTACTTGAAGTATTTGTAATTCAGGAGATGACACTTGTCCCTCTAAGTCAGTGTTGTTATCATTTATTCAGCTCTGTGGGTATGCATAGCTCATTACAGACAAATAAACATGTGGTCAATAATGAACAATGTCCCAACATGGGATTAGAATTTACTGTAGTATTAAGAGAACTGTCTTTCAAAGGAGGTACAAAACTTAGGTGCTGGGTCCTTGGTACCTTTAAAGATTCCAGAGTGCTTTTCTTAAGAGCCAAGTTATTAAATCAAGTGTCCCTAATGAAATATTGACCCAGGACGCAATTACATCCCACCTACCTAAATTCTCCCTGCAATTTCACTTGGAAAGTATTTTCTTCTTAACATACTGGTCTAAAATGTTGTGTAGTGTTGATGAGTGCTATTAAATCATTGATGAATTTCAACAGAGAGGTGGATAAATATCAGTTGTATGTTATTTGAAGGGATCACAGGATAAAGAGTGTTTGCAAAGTGCTTTGGATTCCTTTTGGGATGAAAAAGTACTATACAAATGGAAGATCATTCTCATTGTGAGACAGTAACACTCATACAGATTTAGATTAAATAAAGAGTCAAAGCCTACATTTTTAAAATGTAACAATCTGATGTTATCTGAAAAAATAATTTCACCTTTTAAAGTTACATTCAAGTAAGGAAAATATTTAGACGTTGACAATAAATTGAAAAATATACTGAGGTTGCAGAGGTGGGGTCTTCTATCAAAAGTGGAGCTTAAAAGTTTTTGTTCTGAAGAGTGTCTAACAGTCTTCCTTTTATATGCAGGGGACTGGACTAAGTGCTAGTCTGGAGTACAGATATAAAAGTTGAGTCATGCAGCTAGCAGGTTAGGACTGGATACTTGTAGGGAATGGGATGACAACAGAGTCTGGTAAATGGGAAGAGGTGATGTGGTCCATAGGGGTACTTCGATCGAGGTAGAGATACGCTGGGGATTGTGAGATTGACTCATGGGAAGCAGAGAGGACAAGATTATGTACAGGTAACAGAAGTACAGCAGACAGTAGTGTTTGATAGTGGAGAAAGGAGTCTTTTAGGAGGCACTTCTCATACAGGGTAGGGAAGTTCAGAAGATGAATTGGGGTAAGAGAGTTGATGCATGTGAATGAGAAGGAGGTAAAAGGGATGGTTTGGCAGAAGGGCTTGTGATCAGGTGTTGGATGGGCAACTGAAAGTGTGGCATTGATAGGACTCTGCATACAACACAATACCTATTTGTTTAAACAAGTTTGTCCGTAGCTTGGCACTGTAGATGATAAACAGACCTTCAGGGCTTTAAGGTTTAATTATTGAATGATTAGTCCTTCTGGTTATTGGAAATGCAATATTCTATTGTGATTTTTTAAATTTAATTTTATTTTTTTGTATTATTTTTTTTACTTCTTTATGGAAATTACAAGTTCTTTTAGACCAGAAGAGGTTTAACCTGGGCATCTTTCAAGACCAGTACATTTTTCAGACCATAAAAATATGTGAGTCCTAT